CCCCAAAACCCCAAAACCCCAAAACCCCAAAACCCCACACGCATAATAATTATAGAATTAAATTAAGTAAGACCAAGATGCCTCATCTACATAAGCAAAGAGACAAAGCTAAAGGGCGCAAGGATTACTCTAAGAAGGAGCAAAGAATGATATGCATACTAAAATCTTACCAGCTACTTGGGAATTTAGTCAAGATAAAACACACCCAAAACATGACAATAACAGGCATCTTATCAACTCTTAAACCATCCGTACCCCAGATGTTCTGCCTCCAGAACTGAATTATAAAGTACGAAAAAGATGGCAAAACCCAATTCTTCAAATAAAGTGACTGTCAAGGTCGAGCATGTAGTGTACATGCAGGTTCTAGACATCAAGAAAGGTAAGAACTCTTCTTAAATTTTAAACTTCTTATAAGCACTTCTGTAATACTTATAATACCAAGACAGAGAAATAACTTCTTATAGAAATGACTAAACTTCAAGTACAAAAGAGAGATAATGAAGATAAAGATAAAACCAAGGACTGTAGCCAGGCTAATAGCTCACGAAGTAATGAAAGCAAAAAGGAAGAGAGAGAACAACCTAAAGAAAGTAAGGAGGAATTCCAAGACAGCAAGACAGGTAAATTATTCATCTCTCGACAATTTTGCTTAACCCTGGCTGGTATAGCTCATGAAGACCCACAAGAGGATTTAAGCAATAAGATTGAATCAAAATCTCAAAAGACAGTCAGGCCTCCGAAGACTCTTCCCCCACTTCCAAAAATTAATGCAGGTTCGAATTCACTTCCAAAAAGTGATCCGCCAGACCAGGCAATGCCTGAAAAATCTGACTCGTATGAAGCACCGAAGAGTACTAGGGCTCCTCTTCCAAAGACAAGGAAGAAAAAGAATACTCAAAAAGCTAAAACTAATCAGAAACAGTCTGATTCAACTAATCCTGCTTCTCCTGCTGCAGAGCAAAAGTTGCCTGAAAAAAAGGAAGAACAGCCTACAAAGTTAGAAACTTCTTCCAAATCAAGGTAATTTTTATTGATTTCTTATTATGATATCTCTTTAACAAAGATTTTGCATCTCATAAACTTAAGCAAACCTAGAATTTCACCCTCATCTGCTCATAACACCACTAACACTTCTTTTAAATTTCCCAAAATTTGATTAAAACCCTTCTTTATACCTCTTTAGCCCAAACAGTCTGTCTGCTTCTAAAGGAAACCTCCAAAACTACGCTCAAAAATCCTCGGCGACCAAGTCTGACCAGCCACTTCAAAGAATGAAGTTCGCCATGAAATAAGGGTCGCCAGTTTTTCCCCAAGTCCAGCTGCCTGCCTGCGCTTCCGCAGGCAGAGCCAGCTGAGGACCTCTGGAGGGACTACCCTTCCTTCTTCATGACTTATGACCCGCAGTGGGATCCTAATGGACCAATCAAGAACCTTGACCCCTTCAGTTTGGCCTTTGCTCGGAATTATACACTTGACCGGCTACCCCCTCCTTTGTTGTTCCAGTGGAGTGAGAATTCAATAGACTAAAGAGAAATAATCGGTTTCAGTGGAAGAGTGGATGTAGTCGTTTGTGTAATTAAGATTCATTTAATTCATACTATTACTTCAGTTCTTTCTCTCAAATTGGTTCTATGCTTTCTTATCTTTCTTACATTAAGAACATCACAATAAGACATTCCCTTAAATCTTGGAACAAATCCCCCTCCATCTCATTTTCCCAAAATCCCAAGTGACCACTACCCATTTTCTGTATTATCCCACTGCTCACAGCTCACATAAGGAAGCCAAGCCAGGCTAGGCTCTGTAGAGGCCGTCGTGATCAAGGATCTGTGGGAAGAGCAATGGGAAATGTGGATAGGGGAGATTAAGGATTTTGGACGGCTAAATTTTGAACTTAGAGTGTTTTTGGTGGATTTTTAAGAAGAATTTTAGCTTCACGAGGTATATTGTTGTGCAGAGTACAGTATTTGGGTATACTGGAAGGTCAGAAAGGAGACTAGAGAGAGATTTAAGGATTTATTTCAACAAAACCTCAAGTTATTGGGGTTTTGGGGTTTTGGGGTTTTGGGGTTTTGGGG